CCGGTCGATGTGTCTCTCTCACATCGATGTTTCTTTCTCTCTCTTTGTCCCCCCCCCCCCCCCCCCCCGCTCTATCTGAAGATGAATGCAAAAATGTCCTCGGGTGAGGATTTAAATTTAAAAAGATCATAGAAATAGTTAATCAATTCCACACCAAATCCAAATCCATTCTTTTAAACAAAATAGCAAGGTAGAGATGTTTTTGTTATAGGGGAAAAAAATGTGTCTTTTTAAACTCCATGTAATAGAAACTAGTAGATGGCCATAGCTAACATATCAGTATGGTGAATGATTTCAGCCTCCTGTTGAAATCTCTTTGGCCTGTTGAAATCTGACCTATTTCAGGTGAGTGTGGAAACCCCCAGAATCACTTTATGAAGCTTTCTTAGTGTGACTTGACACTCTGACAACTGAGCTAGAGGTAAGACTCCCTGGGGATTTAGCCCTAATAGCATCAAGGCAGAGGCACTTATTGGGTATTGTCTCTTTACATCCCTATATTTTTGTTTCCATTTATTTCTAATTATAAAGCAGAAGGAACTTATGTTAATTAGAGTATAATCTAAGCTGCCATAACAAAGAAACTCTAAAATACAGTGACTCAAAAAAGAAAGAAGGCATACAGGAGTTTCTGTTCCGTATCAAGGGATGTAGGTTATTTTAATTTTTCCCAGTTTCCCTAGTATGTGATCCCCATATGCACAGTAAAAGGTGCATTACTACTAGTGTGTCCTTGTCCCAGCCTGAATTGGTGGTGGGGTCATAAATAGGGAGAGAAAACGACTTAATAAAGATGTGACATGAAATTGTTTAGATCACTTCCTGTCACATCCCATTGGCTGGAACTTAGTCATATGGCCAGGCTCTAAAGAACTCTGGGACTTATAGTTGGGGATAGGCAATTATGTATCCAGCTAAAAGTAAGCAGTAATGGTGGGTTTGTTCTATTACCAGAAGGAAGGAAGGAAGAGGAAAATGAATATTGGAGGATAATTACTGGTCTCTCCAAAGCTGTCTCTGACAGTTGTGACCTTCTCTAATTCAAATTTCTGATTTTCTTTATTTTCTCTCCCCTTTTCTTCCCCACCCCCTTTTATTCTTACTTTTCTTTGCCTATTGCTTTCACTCCCTTATTCTGTACTATAGTAACGAGAGTGCTAATATTTAACCTAAATAGCTAGTGTTCACCAGTGGCCTGTTCCTTACAAAGGAGTCTGTAGTATTTCTCTGAGCTTGCAAACTTTAGGTTAACTTTTTTATTTCATGGAATATATTGCCTTCATCACCTTTAATTCTTTTTGGAAAAGGTGAATATAGGGAAGGGAGCAAAGGAGAGATAAAAAAGAGGAATAGGGAAGGAGGGAGGGAGGGAGGGAGGGAGGGAGGGAGAGATATACAGAGAGACAGAAACAGAGAGACAGAGACAGAGAGAGAGAGAGGAAGGAGATAGAAAAAGAAAAAGGAAGGAAAAGAGAGAAAGAAAGAGGAAGAAAGAAAGACAGTAAAAGAAATGAAATGAGAATGTATATAAGCTTATGAAGGCAGGGATTTTTGTCTGTTTTGTTTAAAGCTATACTTCCAAAATCTAGAATATTGCCCAGCTCATTGTTGGCACTCAAATAATATTTGTTAAATGAATAAATGAAACTAATTTATATTTTATCTCACTGTTTGTCCTCAAGTTTGTTTCAAACTTTAAACTTATCAAACATACTAGTTTTCCATTAGAAAAATTATCCCTGAATGCCAAATATAGGAATTTGCTATCTGCAAATTCAGCTTAGTATTGGCCTGAACTTCCTCTCAATAACAGACTTAATTTTGTTTTAGTTTGGATTTCATCTTTGACTAAGACTATAATTAGTTGTTTCTATAAGAGATGTTTGAAATAGACTTATTATATACAAGAGCAAACCTATACCTTAAAACATAATTTGGTTTTCTGAGATGAGTGAACTGGTACAGGTAAGAATATGACATCCATTACAATAAAATTGTTCTTTCTAATTGACTATTATTTGGCTTTTCAACAAGAAGTGAGTGATAGCAAAAGAAAAGGGGTTCTCTAAAACAAGGCCCCAATAGCCAGAATCTAGAACCACTGAGAAATGTCCATCAATTCCTCCCCTATCTCTCTCTCTCTCTCTCTTTTTGGGGGGAGGGGTTAATCCTCACCGGAGGATATTTTTTCCATTGATTTATATAGAGTGAAAGGGCAGAGGGTGGGAGGGATGGAGGGGGGAGAGAGAGAAAAACAAAAACAAAAACACATTGATATGAGAGAGACACATTGGTTGGTTGCCTCCTGCTCAAGCCCTGACCAGGGCCCAGGATTGAACCTGCAACACAGGTACATGCCCTTGACCAGGAATTGAACCTGTGACCCTTTGGTGCACAGGTCAATGCTCTTAACTACTGAACCATACTGTTGAGGGCCCTTCCCTCTCTCGTTATCTTAAACTCTTTTTCAGAGCCTGGGGACATCTTTAATATTTTCAACAATAAGAAAAGAAAAATAAATTCTACTGAAAAAATAAAAATAAAAGCTAACATCTGCTTTATTTTCTTTTTCATCCACATGGAATATCAGAAGGAACCTTAGAGATCCTAAAGCTTAGCGGTTTGCAGTCTGGATTGGGGGGTAGGCAGGGAGGTGATTGGGTTTCCTGTGCTCTTTTCAGCCAGAGTAGGTTCATTTTTATCATTTTAATAGGTTGGGTTCATTAGTAAATTTTGTTGAAAAAAGGTGTTCTTTTTAAAAAAATATGTTTTTATTAATATTTTAGAGATAGAGCAAGGGAGAGAGAGATAGAAACATCAATGTGAGAGAGAACATTGATTGGCTGCCTCCTGCATGCCCTCCACTGGGGATCAAGCCAGCAACCTGGGCATGTCCCCTGACCAGGAATCAAACCAGAACCTCTCAGTCCATGGGGTGACACTTAATCCACTGAGCCACACCAGCTGGGTGAATAAAAGGGTTCTTATTTTAACAAAAGCTTAGAAACTTTTCATTGTGCTCAACTTCCTTAATTTATGAATCGAAACACTGAGGCTTAGAGAGAAGTAATATTTTAAAGATTTCAATGGCAAAGCCAGGTCTGGAATTTATATCTACTCCCTCCTGGGCTGGAGATCTTCCCACTACGCTGTGCTTGCGCTGGCTCCAAAGCATCCTCGGATCATTGACACGTCATTTTTTAAAAAAATTATATAGTGAGGTTTGGCATAAAATAGGAAATCAGACTCTTCCAATGGTCTCTTAAAAATCAAGTAACATGGCCTGGCTAGTGTGGCCCAGTGGTTGAGCCTCGACCCATGCACCAAGAGGTCGCTGGTTCGATTCCTGGTCAGGGCACATGCCCAGGTTATGGGCCTGATCCCCAGTGGGGGGCATGCAGGAGGTGACCAGTTGATGTTCTCTCTTATGAATTTCTATCTCTCTTCCCTCTCGCTATAAAATTAATAAAGAAAAATTTTTTTATTTTTATTTTTTAATTAATAAATTTATTTATTTATTTATGTTACAGATGTTTCTCCTTTTTCCCCCATTGACACCCTCCTCCTCCTCCCTCCCCGCCCTGTCCCCAGCTTTGTTGTTCATGTCCATTGGTTATGCATACATGCATGTAAATTCTGTGGTTTATCTCTCCCCCCACTCCCTCTTCTGGGGATTGTTAGTCTGTACCCTACTTCCACCTCTCTGGGACTACCCTGTTCTTCAGACTGTTATTTTATTTTATTTTATTTTTTTAATTTTATTTTTTTATCCTCACCCGAGGACATTTTTCCATTTTTTTTTGTTCAGGTAGAGGGGGGGGGGGGGAGAGAGAGGAACAGAGAGAGAGAGAGAAACATCGATGTGAAAGGAACATATCGAGTGGCTGCCACCCGCACAACCAACCATGGCCGGGGAGAAACTGCAACCGAGGTACGCGCCCTTAGCGGGAACCGAACCCAGGTCTCTCAGGACCGCAGGCCGATGCTTTAACCGCTGAGCCAAACCGGCCAGGGCCAGACTGTTATTTTTAAATCAAGTAACACGTATAATCAGTGTTGCTTCAAACAGGCTATTGCCCCATTGTGAATATTATCAATGACCAATAAACAGTTGTTTGGGAGTGAAATATTTTCATTGCCATAGATTTAACTGACAATGATTGAGCACAATACGGGGGTTCCTTTTTATAACTGAGTCACAGTGCTGGGGAGGTTGTTGTGAGCTGACCCTGGCTAAGAAGGCACAGGTGCTGGGTTGGAGAGAATGGGTTAGGAGTGACCCCATCACCCTCTCTCCTCGGCTTTTCAACCCAACCAGGTGGTGCCTTCCTTGTCTTTATCAGAACTTGTGTCTCTACCTGTTATGTTTTGGGTTCTTAGAAATAAAAGATGAAGATTCATTCATGTTTAGAAGAGCCTGTTTCAAGAGGATGTGCTTAATACCCCAGAATACGATGATAATCACCTGTTCTCTGTAAACCTATTAGATAATTTTGGTAAATGTGAAAGTTGCCTTCCTCCTGCTATTTAGTATCATATTTTGCATTTAATAATGTCTTGCATTTAATGTCTTTCGGGACTAGCTTTCCAGCTAACTAATGCCTTTGCAAACCAATGTAACCTCTTAACATGAAACATAGGTAATAGTAGTTTGCAGGAAATGAGCTGTTGGATCCCTAGAGCATGGTTAGAAAGTCTACACTAGTTTTCACAAACTATTGTTTTACAGCAGTTATACAGTTTTTTTCACAAGTATCAAAATGTTCTTCATGGAAAGCACAGGTCAACTTAAAGTCAGAGGCTTTGGTTCTTGGAATACTATGAAGTTGTAAAAAATACTCAAAGTATTTAAAAAAATACTGTAATCATTTGTGTTCATATATGGAGTCACGCTATTTTGGTTTTAGACATGAAATGTTAATAATTATCACATCTCTGTGAGAAATCTAACTGGCAAACTATTACTTATTAAGTTTCTGTTTTTATTTTCTTTCATAAAGACCCCAGATTATCAACAAAAAAAGAATTAGTCAACTACATGGCAGTTTTGCAATGTGAAAAGTTGTGGACTGAAGGTATAATCCCTACCATATTTCCCGTTCTGAGAGATGTCTCAGAAACCAAGACAAAACCCAGGCCTATAAAAACCAAGTGGCTTGCCTGCTCTTGAACAGGTAATCAGAAGTACAGCTAAGGCCAGCACAGGGGGGTCCTGACTGTAGGACATCATTTACTTCACAACCACTATTTTTGTTTAATTGTTGAAAGTATTACATATGTCCTTTCCTTTTTCCCCCATTGACTCCCTCCTCCCCACTCCCACCCTCACAACCACTCTTTATGACAGATAAAGATAAAAATATTTTTTTAAAGCCAAAATTGCCTTTATGTATCTTGGCTTTGTGTTTCACATTCTGATGACTAACAGATCAAATTTCACTGAACAAGAAATTAGGGAATGTCCTAAATCTGACACTCATGTTTTATATACCAAAAGGTTTACTCCCTCCCTCCCTCCTTTTCTCCCTTTCTTCTTTGGTTATTTTTCTTTTTGAGCAGAGATTTAATGCTTAACTGAAGTAGAGTTAGTTGTTATGGTAATTTCCCCCCAAAGCAAGATAGAATAATTCATACCATCATATTTTTATCTGTGTCTCTGTCTGAAGTATTTATTAAGGTCCCCTTTTCACACGATGTATTGTGATCTACAAAGCTGTTAATTTCATGGGGATCAAGTGATTGAAACTTCTCAATGATAGGTGAGGAAACTGTGACCCAAACTCTGCTTTTGCAAAATGGGAAAAATTTAATAAAATAAGAAACAAAATAAATATATTTAGATTTCTTCTCTTATTTTCATTCAAGGAGATGACTACATTTACTGAGACGATAAATTAAAAAGGAAAAAGAAGTGATAGACTATGATGAAATGGTCACTGTGTCAGAAATTAGGGTGTGGGAAGTGAATGGATGGAGATAGGGACAAAATTTGAACACTGAGAATGTAATACCTTTATCCATTTTAGATGTTCTCCCTCCTATTATTGTGAATTTTTATAACAAGAAGTGAGAACATAAAGATACACACACACACACACACACACACACACACACACACACCATGATAGAGCTCACACCTTTTAATTCCTCTATGTAGGTGATTTTCTGAATTTTGACTTACTGCTATAGCAGCAAGTTCTCAATATCCTTTTTCTGTTGTAAAATGAATCTATAGTTTTCCTTTCTGATGAATTACTTAGTGCTAGCCTTTTAAACTTATTTTAAATAAGTTTATTGTTTAATTCTGCTCATTTTTATTGCTTATATGGAAATAATGAGTAAACGATAGAGTAGATGTTATATAATGAAATGAGCAAAGCTTTCTTTTCAAGTTTCTTGACATAGTTTCTGGTTCAGTAATAATGGTTAAGAGTGACTTAATGATCTGTTTGTTCGTAGTCTACCCCGACACCAAGGTTTCTGTCACATGTTTGTTTTGTAAGACTAAAAAGGGCATTCTGTACTCATGGGCAATGAGTCTGTTAATAAATTTAAAGCATCTTCCTTCATACACTGCACATGATGGGAGTTCAGCAGTTATAGAAGTTTCCAATACAGCTATCTGACATTTGTAACACTTTGAAATATCTTCTATTTATGTTCTTCTTCATCATATGACAGTGATATCATCTTGAGAAGCAGAGAGAGAGCAAACATTAGCATTTCCTATTTACATCTAGAAAAATTATGGATAAACAAAGCTTAAGAGGCTCCCCCGTGACAGTGGAATAGAGCCTTTCTAACAGGTTGACTCTGTACTTTTTTGAGAGTGACAAAGGCCACTGTAAATAATGGGACAATATGTATCAAGTTAGACTGTCCTAGTGAAACTAAGACCTGTTGTCACTTTACTGAATCCATAACTGATTCTCACATATTTCTATTTCTCTATGGTTCTTGGACCTCACCTGTGTTGTATATGCAAATATATGCAAATACATTTAATGTTTATAGGAGAGGAATAGCTAGGTTTCAAACCTGGAAACTTCACGTATTAGCTGTGAGTTTTTGGGCACACCTCAAGCACCTTAACTCCTCTCTGCTTCAGTTTCTTTCTCAGTGAAATAGGGATGATGATGATGATGATGATAATAATAATAATAATAATACTTATATTACGGGAATGTCATATGAATTGAATGAGTAAAATTCTTGAAACAGTAGTGTCTAGCACTTAGTAGGCACTGTATGTATTTGATAAATAAAAACAAGAACATTGACCTTGGTAACTACTTTATTATTTATTTATTTGTTTGTTAATCCTCACCTGAAGATATTTTTTTTCCATGGATTTTTAGAGAGAGTGTGTGGAGGAGAGAAAGAGAGAGAGAAACATCAATGTGAAAGTGACCTATCGATTGGTTGCCTCCTGCACACGCCCCATCTGGGGGCCACGGATTGAATCTGCAACCTAAGCATGTGCCCTTGACTGGGAACCAAACCCATGACCCTTTGGTGTTCAAGCCAATGCTCTAACCACTGGCCAGGGAGGTAACTACTTTTTCTAATAGAAAAACGTAGAAGCTATTTAGCTAAGAGCATTTGTTTTATTTCTGGAGAACAATTCTGAATCAATTCTTGGAATATTGTCTATTTTGTACTTTGAAAATCTGTACCTAGAATTACTAATGTCTGTACTAACGCAGTTGGGTGACACAGTCTGATTATTGTTTTAGTATGTAGCATTATTAACATATGTGTGGTAAGACAGCAGTAACGAGCTAATTCTCTTCTTGGAGCCTTTTGAAATTTTGATGAAATGTAACTTCATAATAATCTACAATTTTATGAATTCTACTAATAGAATTCTATTAATTCTATTATGTTTTAATGGTAGACCTTTATGTCTTTATGATCTATGCTCTGTTACACTTGTGATTACTCACTTTCATCATTTTAACGCAAGATATCTGTTTTTTCTTTTGGAACAGATAACCTTGGCTTATCCCCACATTGACTCTCCTCTTTCTGAAAATTAAAAATGAGATTAAAAAGTACAGTCTAAGATGGGAAACATGAAGAAAGGCATGTCTCCTGCAGTTTGTATTGTGGTAATTTGGCCCTGAGAAAAATGACCCTCACCTCTGGCCCCACTGGTACACCTAGGGCTTGTTTTGTATTCAGGATTGGACGCCTCATTCCCTTTTAGCCCTTCTGCCTTGCACCTTTTTGGTGTGGCCACCTGTGCCTAAGGTCATCGCTAATTTGTTGTCCAGCACACTGAGATGTTCATTATCTACTTTATTTGGTACGTGAATGATTCTAAATCTAACGTTTTCCTGTGCTTCAGAGTTTTGCTTTACTCTCCATTATGTGGCTAAAATGTCACGCGGTTCTGTTTTTCTAATTTGATCTTTTTTCTATCTCCTGCCATAAACTGTCACCCTTCTTAATATGTCTCCAGCCTTCCCAGTGATAACAGTGCCACAGCTAGGGGAGGTAAAGGAGCAGGAAATCCTAGGGAACTGGGCAAAGTACCAGAAGAAAGAACCACATATGTAATACATTTTCTTTAACACTTTTAAACAAAGTAAAATTTCCAGTCCTAACTGCTGTAATTTGTACATATAATAAAGTTATACATATTGTTTTCTAATAATTTAATAGTTAAACATTACTTTTAAAATGTGTCAATTATTTTTTTTTAACTTTATTGTTGAAAGTATTACAAATGTCCCCTCTCTTTTTTCCCCCATTGCCCTCCTCCACTCGGTTCTCACCCCACCCCAGGCCTTCACCACCCTATTGTCAGTGTCCATGGGCAGTGCGTGTGTGCATGTGAATTCTTTGGTTAATCTCTTCTTCCCCCTCCTCCCCCTTCCCTCTGAGATTTGTCAGTCAGTTCCATGCTATTTTTATGTTCTCTCATTTGATACATTACAATACTTGTGAAACAGATATTATATTTGTCCTCATCTTACAGATGAGGAAACTGAAGTGTGAGGGAATTCACATAAGTCATTTAATACAGTCAAAAAATAAAAAAATTGATACTATTAATAATAAAGAAGAAAATAAAAATCACCCGTAATTCATTTTATTACCCACTGTTAACATTTTAGTGCATTTTTTATTATTTTGTTTTTTTATACATATATGGATGTTTGCATAAGCTTATTTAAATGCATAATTTCACATAATTAAAAGCATTTCTGTATTCTGCTTTTTAAAATTATCATTATGTTATAATGTCACTTAAAAATCTTTGCAAACCATTATTTAAATTCCATTGCACAGCTATAAAATTTGTTAGATAATTCTCCTATTATTGAACATTTACTTTTTAAACATTTCAATAATTAAAAATAACATCATGATGAATGGCTTTGTATGTGAATAGTTTCTATTTACCTAGTTATTACATTTTAATAGATATGAAAGTTTTTAAAGCATAGGATGGTATCCTCACCCACTGGCATCTCTTGATTTTCACAGTAGCCTTGGCCAAGATTTGTGGTTTATTCTGCAGCCATTCAACAGTGAACAATCTACTTGCAAAGGGAGTGAGTTTATGACTTTGGCTTCATCAACATTTTTGTGTTCACACAGGGTCAGACAAGCAGACTTAGAAGAAATAAGAAAAGAAAAAAAAGTAGAGTTTAGGTAGTAGAAATTTTAGGGGTGGAAAAATATATATGTGTTGGGACAAAGTGAGAGAGTGTGCTTTGTGTAAAATTTATCAACATCCTAGACCTGTTTGATCTAGGCATTTTTAGGTAGCATTAATACATTACTTCACAATATACAATAAAAGCCATAGGAAACAATCATATTAGATAATTTCACTGAATTTCTTAGTTTATAATGGCTAATAAGTTGGTTAGCAGCGAAAGAACAAATGGGCTGGGGGAGATAGAGAATGATAACAATAGCTAAACTTTATTGAACTCTGTGTTCCAGGCGCTATTCTAGTTCTGTAATGTCTGCAATATAAATTGTGTTCCACAACCACCCAATCAGGTAGGTATTTTCCTCATTTTATTCATGTGGAAACCAAGGTTAAGTAAATTGTTCAGAGTCAGGTGGGCTGACTCCATAGTCCAATCACTCAACTACTGTTTTATAATGTCTCCAATGTACACCTATACTCTACTGATTTGTGCTCCAAAGGGAATATACAGATATACTTAATAGGAAGTGAAGAAGTAGGCTCCCAGCCTGAGTGGTGTTGAGTAGAGGAGGTGATGTACTTGTTTTATCTTGCCATGTCTCCTGTGCCTGGAATGGATAATGAACCAATGAATGGTATTTGCACCTCAGTCTTAACTAGGATATATCCAGTTCAACACACATCTTATTAAGCGTCTACTCTGGGTTGGGCTCTGGGAAGACAAAGAGGAACAAGACATAACCCTGAACCCAAGAACCTCATAGTCTAAAAGGAAAATGGACATGAAAAATATGATTATATTACATTGTGGTATGACAAAAAAGGATGTATAAGACACCGAAGAAGAGGGAAACCTTCAGAGAGGAGCTGACATTTGAATTGTGATGAATCAAGTTTGCCAGGGAGACAAGGTTGAGGGGGCCGCCTAACAATGCTTCTAGCTATGGAAGGTGAAGCTCACCAGTTGTTTGTTTTTAACTTAATTTAGAAAGAGTACAGTGCTATATTTGGAGTTAGTCTCACCTCAGTTCTTATCAACTAGGTGATGTTAGACAAATTACTTAATTTCTCAGAGCTGTGGCATCTGAACTTGGAAAATTAGGGGAAAATTATGCTTATCCCAGTTTGAAGATTAAAGATACAGATAGGTTTTTAGTACAGAGCCTGTCATTGTTGATGCCCAGCAAATAGTAATTGTTCACACCCTGATTATATAACAAAAAAGAACATAAAAAGTGTCTTAGCACAAAGACTTTCTTACCTCAGAGTGGAAAAAGCCTTGCAAGTTCTACCAAACTAAGTGAGGAATAATAAAGATAAAGGACTATCCTTCAGGAGTTCAAATTCCATGTATGGCGGCTAAACTGAGACTGCTAAGAATAAAAGGCCTTAAAAAGACTCAGGAGGATTCTTGTGACAACAAATGACTGTTACAACGGAATATTTGGATGTGTTAAGTGTAAATTACTCAGAAGCATATGGATTAAATTTCCTTTTAGCAATGCACAGACTTAAACGTTAAGGGGAAAGAGACGTGAGAACAGGCCCTCCTGGGTTAGGAACTCTGATGTTTGCCCCAGGAGGGTTTTCGGTAGACTCACGGAGAAACGGCTGAGAAATGCTCCCTGGGGAAGGGAGGGAGGAAAAGGGGCAGAGAAAGAATACCATACCCTTGGCCCAACTTTGTTGAAGTTCAAATTATTACAAATCAATGTGGACTCAGCTCCAAAGGTTTAAGACACATTTAATTTTAAAAATTAGTTTCTTTTTTACTCCCCACCCCAGTTTTATTGAGAAATAATCGACACACATCATAGTATGATTTTAAGTCACACAGCATGATGGTTTGATTTACATATATTGTGAAATGATTACTACAATAGGTTTGGCTAGCATCCATCTTCTAATATAGATACAATAAAAAGAAAAGAAATAAAAAGCTTTTAAAGTTATATTAAAAGATTAGGTAACAGTTATTGGCCCAGGAAATGGGGGATTATCTTTTCTTCATGTGAGTGATAAAATTCAGAAGAACTCTTCCTGTTAAAAAAGATAATTAGCTGGAAAACCAAACTTCTTTTGCAGTAAAAATGGATTTGAAAAGAAATCATGGTGCCCTGGCCAGTTTGGTTCAGCGGTTAGAGCGTCGACCTGCGGTCCCGAGAGGCCCGGGTTCGGTTCCCGCTAAGGGCGCGTACCTCGGTTGCAGTTTGTCCCCGGCCCTGGTTGGTCGTGCGGGTGGCAGCCACTCGATGTGTCCCTTTCACATCGATGTTTCTCTCTCTCTCTCTCTGTTCCTGTCTCTCCCTCCCACTCTACCAGAACAAAAAAGGAAAAATGTCCTCGGGTAAGGATTAAAAAAAAAAAAAAAAGAAAAGAAATCATGGTCACTTCCAGTCACGATGGTGGTGTAGATAAACATGGTCCTTGCCTCCACCTTCCACAATCACATCAAAATTACAACTAAACTACAGAACAGCCATCATTCAGAACTGCCTGAAATTGAGCTGAATGGATGTCCTACAACTATGAAATCAAAGAAGAAGCCACATCGAGACTGGTAGGAGGGACAGAAGCGCAGAAGGGCTGGTCCCACACCCACATGTGGTAGATGAAAATCAGGAGAGAGATCTCGGCTGTGAAGGTCCTCCCTGAGGAGCAAGGGGTCCCCAGCTCACAACAGGCCCTCCAGCTCAGGGTTTCAGTGCCAGGAAGAGAAGTCCTCACAACTTCTGTCCGTAAATACCAGCAGGAATTGAGGCTGAGAGAGGCTGAGGCTCTCGAGTCCCAGGCAGCTCCTCTTAAAGGGCCCTCACATGGCCTTAGCACACAGACTTACTTGGACTTACTCCCTCCAGGCTCCAGCACTGGGGAGGAAATTTGAAAGGCACCAGAGACATATGGAGAAGAATTGAGTTCTTTGGCATCAGAGGGAAAACTGGAGGGGCAGTTTCTCTCAGACAGACGTGCTGGTGGAGGCCATTGTTCCTTTGGTGAACTTCCCAACAGAGCTAGCAGACAGGCACCATATCTGGGACTCCAGCAACCTGGCTCACACTGTTTGTCCCACCCTGTGATTCCCTGAGGCCCTGCCCCACCCAACTGATTCCAGTGGCTTTATGTGAATGGCTTATCTTGGCTCGTATTTCAGATTTTTCTAAAATCTCTCAAACAAGCAGCATTTGGCCTCAGCAAACCCTATACCTTTTCTAAGTGGCCCCAGGCCCAACACTAGCATCAACTAGTCTTGATTCAAGCTTGGTCTCACGTGGGCACCTCCAAGCCCAAATCAAGAAGCAGCCATCTGCAGATCGTTCTGTAGCTTATACCTGGTGGCCCCAGGTAGAATACAAGCAGTGTTTGAGCTTGGCCTCCTCCTCCTAGGAAGCCCCAGAGCCAGCACACCCAGTGGACAGCTTCAGAGAACATCAAAGCACCACAACCCAACCACCTCCACAAGCGACACACGCAAGGGGTGGACTCAGTGGGTACCAGAGCCCTGCTGAAGTAAGTCTTATTTTGTGTGGTGGGCTCCTACACACCTGATCCTCCAAGGTGGTCAGAGGTCAGTGATCAGTGGGAACTGCCAGTCCTTGCAGCTAATCAGCCTGGGCAAATCCCTCCCAGTGACATGCCAATAGCAGTCAACACTCAATTACAACAGAATGGTTTATAGTCCACATGAGGGGTGGGGTACACCTTGAGTGCCCAGCTGGGGAGATCAGAGAAGCTGAACCACTGGCCCCTATAGGACACCTACTATCTACCAAACTTAGGGGATGTAGCAACTCTACCTAGTACATAGAAACAAACACAGTGAGGTAGCCAAAATGAGGAGACAAAGAAACATGTCCCAAATGAAAAAAACAGAGCAAAACTCCAGGAAAAAAGCCAACCAAAATGGAGATAAGCAATGTAACAAATTCAGAGTTATAAACACTGGTTATAAGGATGCCCAAGGAACTTAGTGAGGACCTCAACAGCATAATAAAAGATCAGTCAGAAATGAAGGATGCACTAACTGAAATAAGGAATAATTTACAGGGTATCAGTAGTAGAGTAGGTAAAGCCGAGAATCAAACCATTGATTTTGACTATAAGGAAGCAAAAAACACCCAATCAGAACAGCAAAAAGAAAAAGAATCCAAAAAATGAGGATAGTGTAAGGAGCCTCTGGGACTTCAGGTGTACCAACATTCGCATAATGGGGGTGCTAGAAGGAGAAGAGAGAGAGCAAGAAACTGAAAGTCTATGTAAAAAAAATAATGAAAGAAAACTTCCCTAACTTGGTGAAGAAAACAGATGTACAAGTCTAGGAAGCACAGAGAAACAAGATGAATCCAAAGAAGCCCACATGAATTTAATGCCAAAGGTTAAAGACAAAGAATATTAAAAGCAGCAAGAGAAAAGCAGTTGGTTACCTACAAGGGAGCTCTAATAAGACTGTCAGCCAATTTCTCAAAAGAAACTTTGCAGACCAGAAGGGAATGGCAAGAAATATTCAAGGTGATGAAAAGCAGAGACCTACAACCAAGATTACTCTGTCCTGCAAAGCTGTAATTTAGAATTGATGGACATATAAAGAGCTTCCTAGACAAAAAAAATAGCTAAAGGGTTTCATCACCACCAAACCAGTATTATATGAAAGGTTCAGGGTCTTTTTGAAGAAGAAAAAGATAAAAAAAAATATGAACTATAAAATGACAATAAATACACATCCATCACAAGTGAATCTGCAAACCAAATGAACAAGCAGAATAGAAACAGACTCACAGATAGAGAACTTGTAGATGATTTCCAGATGGGAGTGGGTTTGGGGGATGGGTGGAAGAGGTGAAGGGATTAAGAAGTACAAATTGGTTGTTAGTCTGATGAACCTCAGAGGGAAGGGGCAGGGTGCAGGAAGAGATAAACCAAAGAATTTATATGCATATATGCATAATCAGTGGACAAAACAACAGTGCTGTGAAGGTGGGGGTGGGGGAGAGTGGGAGGAGTGGGTCAATGAGAGAAAAAGGGGAAACATCTGTAATACTTTCAACAATAAAGATAGTTTTTTTAAAAATCATGTTTACATTTCTCATTTTATAGACAAGAGACTTGAGGCCCAGGGAGGTGAAATGATCTGCCTAACAGTCCCCAGTGAGTTTAGGACAGAACTTGGAATAGAAATTTAGGTCATCTAAGGAATTTCACACTCAAAGAAATTACTTAACTTGGTCAAGGCCATTCCTTGAGTATAGTGGTCACGGACAGGATTTCAGTAAATGTCTTTTTTGAATCTAAAGGCCACATACTTTCTATGACTCTGTGCTGTTGCTTTAAAATGAATTCGCATTGTCTTATTACA